ATAAAATATATCTAATAGCAGAGACTTAAAATTTACTCTGTATCAATTTAAGTATCTTGTTGTATAGCAATCATCTAAAATATTGAACATGTAAATTTTAACTATTTGTCTCTGTTAATGAGGAGGAAAAAACACAAACATTAATCTCATATTCATTTCGAAGCCTGTTCATAGATTTTAACAACAAAATGAGTCTTTTCTACTTGATAATTAACAAAAATCATTTCCTACCTTATTAGCTTATTTGTCTAAAGATTATATTTTAAAAACTTATGTCTTTATCATTCCAGTGTATTAATTTTAATGGTTATGTATAAAATAGGTAGACACAGGGATTATCAAAAACAAAACAAAATGAATGTTTAAAATAACTTTGCCAACAAGATTTTTATCTGATGTGCCCACTTTTTAAAATATATACATGTACTCATGGGTATGTGTGTTTATGTATATATATGTTTGATGCTTGTTAACTACTCAATTAGGATAAAAGCAATTAAACTTGTACCTGAATCATCGTGACCTTTTATTTGTATCAAAACATCATTTAATTATGAGAAGTTTTCCTGATATACAATAAAATATTTTTACTCCAGAAACTTACATGCTGCTGGAATTTATGCTTTGAAAACATTTCTTACAATTATATTTCATTTCTAAGTAGGGAAACATCAATTATTTAATTTCATATTGAGAATAATATATCAATCACATTAATTCCATCAGAATTCATTTTGAATGCTAACTATGGAAAAACTACTAAAAAATATTGGTATTTCCAGTACTTTTAGGGAGGAGAAAAAGTCTGATGTATAAATTATAAAGCAGTGAACTATGGGCTAATTCTAATGTTTTATAGTAATTTAATAATGGATTTCTCACATTATTATTACTTCTGAACCAACTCCCATTGAGCAAATGTTAGCACAAAACCCAGACTATAGCCTATGAATAAGTACTGACGCTGGTCACAAAAGTTCAGCTGGGGAGTTCTGTGTAAATCATTAATTTGGGAATTTGGACGTTCAGACAAAAACTATACCTAAATGATGTTATTACACAGCTATAAAAACTCAGGTGGTTATTTCACTAAACATGCCTATGCAAACTTGATAAAAAAGAGCAAAGAACTTCTCTTTATTATTCTGATGATTGATATAATCCTTTGGCTTAGTTATCTGGCAAGGTGCCATATGGTTAAATTTGAGTGAATTTTCTTGTTTGGTTCAACTGTCAAATAAGATCATGATCCGTGGTGACCGAGTAAGTTGTCCTGTCGTATTAAACTTCAGTGTGGCACACTGCCTACCTGACAGAATGGAGCCAGGGGTTCAGGTGATGACAAGTGAGAAAGGTAAGTCAGGGGAAGCTCACTTGTGTTAACCTTTACTAAGATAAAGACTGTCATATCAGTGAAGGACCATCATTTTACTGAGTTTATCACTAAATTAGGTCCAAATCTGACAGGTTAAATACAACATTTAACAATTTGGACTGGCCTTTATTTACAAGTTCTTATTTTAGGGTATATACCAGACTAGGTACTGAGTATTAGGTATATGAAGTAGCCTTCTATATCTAAATCATTGGTAATAAAGAGCAACTTTGCTGTAGTCAAGCCTACAGGCCACAGTTCCTCCTACAATAATTCTTCCCAATAAATGCAAATACTTCCTATGTCATCAACATTTTCCTTGTCACTGTAATTATTAAAAAAAATAGCAACGAGCAATTATAGAATTTAAAATCTGCACCTGGCACTGTGCTAGCTGTTTTATATGCAGAATAACACAGAATGCTCACAACAATCCTGTCTTCAGTTTCCCAAGAGAGGAGACTGCTGAGGCTCAGGGAGGTTAGGTTATTTCCCCAAGGTCACACAGCTGGAAAGTACAGGAGCCTGGACTTGAGCTTAAGTTTCTTGCATTCCAAAGCCAGTACTCTTAGTTTCCATGACTTACTCTCTTTCCCTTATACTTTCACAGAAAATAACAAAGAGCAGTTAAAAAAAAAAAAAAAAACAAAAAGCAAAACAAAACAAAAAAACTCACTGAACCATGAAAGCCATAGCTGAGAAACAATAATGGTGGAAATTTTCAAATAGAAAATCAGCATTTTCTATTTGACTTGTATAAGGTGGAGAACATAAAAATTAATAAAATTTAAGATATAATGCCTAACACTGAATCGGTCAAAGAAGATTTTAACAAAGGGAGTCCTAAAACTTGCTCTTTCCTCCATTATAAAATATGTACTGGTGGAAACCTTCAGAGAAATTGAAACCAGTTAAGTTTAGTAGAGTCAGAGTAATAGAGATTTAAAATGCACAGTTTATCTGAGCTTGGTTTATAAATTCATTTCTGTCAGCTCTACCTTCAAAACACAGCCAGACCCTGACTGCCCCTCATCATTTCTACCACTACTCCGCTGGTCCCAGCTACATCAGCTTTTCTCCTGAGTACTGCTGTGGCCTTGTTGGTCTTTCTCCTTCAGCTCTTCCTTTGTCAAAGTACCATCAACGTGCTATTGTGGGTCTCTTTAAGCATGAGTCACATCATGGTACTCCTAGGCTCAAAACCCTGCAACAGTGGCACGCAACATGAAAGCCAAAGCCTTTATGAGGGTTTAGAAGACCTCACGGTCTTGCTCCCCACACTCACTGCCTGATCTCTGTGCTGCAGCCATATTGGCCTCCCAGCTAGTCCTCACACATAGGATGCATGCTCCCGTCTCAGGGCCTTTGCAAGTGCTGCTCCCCCTGCCTGGGAGCTCTTCCTCTAGGCATACCCAGACACACACACACACACACACACACACACACCCCTTGCTCATTCACTTCCTTCTGGTCTCTACTTACATGACTCAGGATTAGCAAGGTTTTCTCTAACCATTCTATACAAAGGTGTATTTCCCATTCCAAATGCCTTTTTCTTTTAATATGCTTTATTGCTGGACAATGTACATATGGCCACCATCTGATGTGATATATTTATGTATTTCTTTATTGTCTGCCTCTTTTTTGCTGTATCCCTAGTACCTAGAAGAGTGGCTGGCATATTGTTGATGTTCAATGCATATATGTTGGAAAAAATATAAAAATATTAGTTAAGATTATAAGAATTTTTGAATTAATAATATGACAAATTATTATTGCTTATTAGTATTAATAGGACAGAAATCATTTGGAAAGTTTTAATCACATAACAGTAGATAAAATAGTGTTTAGTTCTATTTTAATTAATAGTGAATAATTTCCTTTGAATCTGAAGAATAAATTTTTTCTCCTTAGATAATAAAAGTAAAAATAATAATAACTCTTTGACATTGATAAAAAGTCTATGTTAAAATGTGGTTATTTAAAATTCTAACATAAAAGATCAATTTTCTGATTTGAATGTTAACTGGGGTTTAACTCTATGACTGATAATTAAACATTAAAGTGGTTCTAATGAGAAGGTAGGGTATTCTCATGTATCAAGATTTAATATTTTCGGCCGGGTGCGGTGGCTCACGCCTGTAATCCTAGCACTCTGAGAGGCCGAGGTGGGTGGATCGCTCAAGGTCAGGAGTTTGAGACCAGCCTGAGCAAGAGCGAGACCCCGTCTCTACTGAAAAATAGAAAGAAATGATCTGGACAACTAAACATATATATATATAGAAAAAATTAGCCGGGCATGGTGGTGCATGCCTGTAGTCCTAGCTACTCGGGAGGCTGAGGCAGAAGGATTGCTTGAGCCCAGGAGTTTGAGGTTGCTGTGAGCTAGGCTGACGCCACGGCACTCACTCTAGCCAGGGCAACAAAGCGAGACTCTGTCTCAAAAAAAAAAAAAAAAGATTTAATATTTTCATTTATTCCTGGGGTCTATAGTTATTGAAGTTATATGATTTCACTAAAAGTAAAGTACTCTGTGAAAGAAGTTTAAGATATGAACAAATTATAAAACATGGACTAAAAGTAGATACACTTCTTTTAGTTACAGGTAAAGTCAAACAAGTTAGGACATGGAACCTCCTCCTGGTATTAAATAATAAGCAACTGAACTCCAAATGCATTTGTGTCTGTCTTAATTATACTTTAAAGATTCTTAAAAAACAAAATTTGTACAGAACTTCTGCCACTGATGCTTAATAGCCTGATCTTATATCTGCATATGGGTCACATTTTGTTTTCAGAGGAGCTATCTCTCACACACACATATACACACACTGTGTGCATACACAGACATATACACACGCATACACATACTCACAAAATATCTTTTATGAGACGCAGATTCATCCACAAAATATTTCATGAGGCCTATACAT